GCACCCGCGCGCTGGCCCCGCTCCGGCCGGCAGGGGAGGCTGCTCAGTCCTCACCACCCCCGTACATGTCCGCCAGCTTCCGGAACCGGGGCCCCCAGTCGTTCAGGTAGTCGTAGTCATGGTCTCCGGACCCCGAGCTGGAGGAGTTCAGGGAGCTGACGGAGCCCGCGGTGGAGCCGCTGCCCTCGTAGTCGAAGACCAGCAGCGAGTCGTAGGGGGGCGCCGTGGGGTCGTTGTCGGCTGCCCGCAGTCCCTGGGGGCCACACAGGATGGGTTAGGGTGGGGGCCCAGGGAGGGAGAGGCAGGCCCCGAGGGCGAAGGCGCTCCATGGACACCCGTGTTTGGGCAGAGGCCCCGGCCGGCCGGGCGGGCAGAGCTGCAGGCAGCAATGCAAACGCCGGCCAGGCCTCGGGAGCAGGGGGCGGGAGTGCTGGGCGGGGCCCCCCGGGGACAGATGGGCCTCCAGTCCCTGACCGCTGCCCCACGGCTGTCAGAATTCTGAAGTCGTGACCTATACTGTCCCCAGAACAGAACTCAGCAGTGTGGCAGGTGTGGCTGGAGCCCTGCCAGGGGCCTGGCCCCAACCCCCCAACAGCCCCAGTCCCTCGCCTGTGGGCGGGGCAGCTCTGAGAGCTGGGGCGTCTGGCGGTGCCCGGGGGCTGGCCCCGTGTCCAGGTGGCCGCTGGCTGAGGCACCTCCCGTCGGTCAGCAGGGCACAGCCCAGGTTTCACTTTGATGACAGATTGGGGAGGAAGTTCTTTTTGGGGTTTTAAAATATTTTTATTGCATCGTGGTCAGTGGACACTGTCGTAGCCAAATTTAGGGCAGCTGCAGGGATTCTGTGCGTGGCCTGGGACATGGCCCATGGGCGGGGGAACGTTGCAAGGAAGCCCCGCACCGCGCTGAGCCCTCTCGAGCTGCGGTTGGTCAACACAGCGCTTCAAAGCTAAACTCTGATGTCGGCAGAGGTGGAGGTGTTCCCGCCCCTGGGGTAGAGAGAGGTGGGCAGGGCCGGTCCCCTGGTCCCCTCGTGGGCGGCGCTGACGGCAGAGGCCGCATCTGGATCTGCCCCCCGCCCACGGTGGGCACAGCTGCTGCTTGTGCGCATTAACCGCGCTTTACATCTAGGAAGGCCAGCTCGGAGCGTCGCCACTGCTAAGCACCCACCTCGCTGATGAAGTCACCGATGTCCCCTGGGTGGGGCCCCACAGGTCGGGCCGGGAACTGGGGCTCGGCGCCCACGGGCCGCTCGTCCACCCGCCGCACCCCGGCTGCCTTGCTCAGCACGTGCTCCATGGCCTCTGGCTGCTGCAGCTGGCTGAGGTCATAGTCCTGGGGCGGGCGAGCGGGTCAGCAATGGGGCACAGGCGGGGCGCCAGAACAACCACTGTCCTGTCCGTCACCTGGCCCGAGCACGGT